TTTGTGGGGGCGCGTTGTCTTTCCATTTGTTTCTGCGAGAATTAACTGTAATACACTGATTTTCATCACTTTGTCCAAGTGAATTCCGCAACCACAGCCTTGACTTCTTAAGGAAGTTGCTTTCACCCTCATTTTAGGCATGGGCATTCCAGCTAGTTTAAAGCGTTTACATTAAACACTGCTTAAATATTAGACATGCGTTTCAAATAAAGCCTTGTCTTTTCGGACAAAGAAATTTAATATTACTTCTCATTATATTGTGATTCTAAAGTAGAACCCTCACTAAGGCAAAATGCAGAGTTTATCACATCCATTGTAAATTCAAATTTCAGACTTGTTTTATTCCTTTCGCTGGTAAATTCTCTCTAGTAGTGCTTTAACGAGTCAGCTATCAGATGGCTGGCAAGTCGAACTGCTGCCATAGAAGTGAGGTTGACCCTTTGTTCGTGAAACAGTTAGAGGTAGCGAGCGACCTTCTAGCGAAGTTGGAATATGTTTATGTCATTGTGCTGTTTAACGACTGCACAAGTTTCCCCTTGACGCTCATCGAAAGTGTATACAACGCTGCCGTGCGAGTTCGACTGCAAGTGATCGTCAGGAAGAACGATACGAGAGCTCCTACCATGACTTAGAACTGGCGGATACTATAAAAAGGAATATGGTATGTGAGTTGGACAGTTTCAGTACTTAGAAACAGTGTTAGTTCTGTGACTGTGACAAGTGAATCGACACACTTGACTGGAATCAGTGAGACATGAAAGTTCGCATAATGGCTGCAACGATCAGACCTGAAAATACTTGTACTTGTGATGCTCATATACTTTCTGAGAACGTTAGCTGTGCTGAATCGTCATGAAACTGGTCTTGACAGCATTCAACGATGATTCGGATGGCTTAATTGTGCGATGGATGAGCACTTGAAGAGTTGCTGCAGATCAGATTTCTTGTAAGGGCATTTGAACTATCCGGAGCGTGATCCATTTATCACACAGGCGTTGTAAACATCGTGCAACGCAGGAAAATTGCAACCTAGCTGCTCCGTGCTACAGTGGACAAATCGTTAGGCATCATAAATTTGGGTTACTTTGCTGTTTAAGCTCTGTTTTTTTTCGGAGAGGACAGTGGCAAAACATCAACAACTTTAGAGTAGTGTGAGAAAATTGTCAGAAAAATCTGAAGACCAGTTCCAAAAGGGAACGTAAATGTGCTGACAGAACCTACGTACGTCATTAAGGCAGACTCGTTTAAGGTCAATTCAAAATCTAAAATCACCTTTTTGAAGCAAATTTAAGACCAGAAATGTGACCCTTGGTGCAGAAATACGCGGATTCTGATTTTAATTTGAGATTTTTTGATGACATGAGATCATAAGTCTGGGCTTTTCTGCTAGAACTTCAGGGTTTACATATCAGTGACAGCAACAAAAAATTTATCATCAATGACTAAATAACAGATAGCGTACAATACCAGCAGTGTGAAATGCCTATCATCTGGGACAAGCATGGTTAGCCTGCTTCAATCATCCATTGTGTGAAAATTGCATGAAGGTATCGTCTGAGTACTGTAAAGATTAGGGTCGATTTTAGG